CCATTAGTAATACGTTTGGCGACACAATTTTTTCACGGCACAGCCTATTTTCAGCGGTACATAACTTGCAAAGAAAACTAATATATATTTTATTCGAATAAATACTCTTCATACAATTTCCGCAAAATTTTTTTTTAAACATTGAAGACATTGCTCGTCTAAATTTCTTGTTGAAGAACAATGAAAGCATATATCTGTCGTTGCGTATCTCAAGATTTTGATTTGAAGTTCTTTTCTATATAAGTTTTTTTCTTCTAAATTCTTCATGGGCTGATTTTTTATGTATTTTTCGGCATATTGCAGTACAAATATACCACATTCATAAGAATCATATTGTTTGTCGCACGAAAAATTTTTAATAGACCATGTTTCCTGCTTGATTAAGAAAATCTCTTGCAAATAGTATTCAATCAGGTTGGTGACTTGCCGTGTTAAGCTTGTCTAGGATCCAAACATGATAGTTACCTGGATTTAATATTCAATATTATAAGATAATAGTGATTATCTATAATGTGTGGAATGAGTATGGAAGTTGAAGAATGGGAGAAAGCTTCGACTAATTTTTGGTGGTTTTGGAAAGCATAAAAATCAATTTGTACGGGGAGTGCTTTGTAGGTACATTTGTTTTCATCTAAAAGAATGACAATTCCGGCATTTACAATATTATTGCGTAGCCACTGTTTTGGTCTAAGTGTTTCCAAATCAAAAATAGAAATAATATTGTCGCCAAAAGGTCTACCTACGAAATATTTATCATATAGTGTTTTCAAATTACATACAAATATTTTGTCCAAATCAAATTGTTTAGTGTATTTTCTGAATACAATTTGTAGGGATTGTATGTATTTTTTTGGGTATAGACTCCATGATTGTGGTCAATAAATTCACGACAACACTTTAAAGTTTCAACTGTCGTAGCAAGTTTCTGCAATCCTGAAAATTCCTGCGAAAACATAGGCTGTGTTAGGCGGGATTTGTGTTTTTTTTTTATTCCAGCTTTCTGTAACCATTTTCAGGTCTTTATTAGATTCTTTTCCAAAAACTTTTGACTTGTTGGGTTTTTTATTCTTTTTAGAAGCATTGACCTTTGTTCCAACTGCTACGGATTCATACAACTTATCGTATAGGAATGTTATATCAATGTCAGTGGCTAGTGAACGATAATATTTATCGACTTGCCTCACGAAGCGCCCGAGTTTGTTCTTTTGATCCTCCAAAACCAAATTTTTCAAATTTTTGTAATGAGCTTCTATTGGCCCATTACTAACACGATTGGGTTTTTTAGATAAAACATCCAATAATATTTGTCCAACATGGTAGGAATGCGATATACTTTTTTAGTATGAAATTGAGAATTTTGGGATGGTAATATGGATTTGGTTGTCCATCTTCATCATATATTTTCAAGGATTGTACCCTTGTTAATATATCCTGAAACTCTTTTGTGAAAGGACTTGCACTTGAAATTTCTTCTAGTGTATTCTCTACAATTTCTTCTAAATATTTCTTTCCAATATTTTCATCAAAAATATATTCTTCAATAGGCGTCTTTACAAAGCGTATAAATTCCCCTTCAGCTTTTCCAACATTCTCATTTAAGAATCTACCACTTAATATTGTGGACAACATTTCGAACCATTGTTTGCATTCATTCAACGAAGTAAAGTTAAATGCTAACCCCATTGCTTCTCGCAGAAATTCTCTTAATTTTACATTATTTAGAGAAACTTGTTCATCAATGTCTTTACATATAATTTTAGTGTAGTGGCTAGTGCAAAATTGTATTGTCACGAAATCTATCTGCTGCGCAGCATTACCATTCAAAACTTGTTTACATTTTACCAAGTATTGATGAATGTTTGCCATTCCATTAAATTCGGCTAGAATAGCATTAATAATTGCATAGCTGCAATCCGTTACTACTCTTTTGCATAATGGCCATCTCAATTTATGGGCTTGGCATTTATCTTTTAAAAAATGTAAAAAAGAGGCAATTTCAAAACTTGTGTGATTGCACAAAATAGCATCAGCAATTGGGAGTATCTTTTTACATTCTGGTATATGTGCAATAATTGAATATAGAAAGATTCGTTTATTTGAGCATTTTAAGGGTTCCACAACGCTGCCTGTGGCGTCAATCCGAAGAGTATAATTTGCTTTTTCTAGTAACAAGGCCTAGAATTTGAATAACATTTCTATTCTCTCTAAATTAAATAAAAAAACTTTTAGTGGAGTAGCTAAATACTGTATAAAATGTCTATAATTTGTTTCACTCATAATGAATGTGCTTATAAATGGATGCACATCATAATCAAAGTGGGCCTTGGCTTCAGATCGAATTTTCCGAAATGTAGATAGAGACCTTAAATTTTGCTGTTTTCCAACGAAACGTAAAAATTTTGACTGCTGATTGATTACCTTTTTTTTATACAATATTGCCTTTTTATTAAATAGTTCTGCTTTAATCAGTTGTCGTTTCGGACCCCTAACTTGACAATATTTGTGCAAGCCAATTTGGTGTTGAAGTTCTTTTTGGACCGAAACACTTTGCAAGTCTCATTTTCCAGGAATAATTTCAGTACGAACGTACAACAAGCTTGATCGTTACAATAAGCATATGCAACGAATATGTTGCCATCACTGTTAAACCTACTGGATCGTATATTAATGTCACACACGTTATTGGATGCCTCGTATGTTACTCGAAGGAAATCTTGCAAAAGTTTCTTTTGACTAAAAGTATCATTTTGGTTGGCTATGTTTTGAACACCTTTGCACGAAAATTCGCAATCGAAAAACTTACAATATTTGAATGTAATTTTGCTTCTCTGTTTATCCGCAGATAAACGTTTTACCAAACGTACACTCCTGTTTTTCATTAGGACTTGCGGACTTTCGGTACTTCTTTAACAAATCCACATGGAAATCTTCCTCGGGTGTACCGTTTAGCTCGTCACAGCTAAGAATAGAACTCTGAAAAACGAATGCATCGTTATAAATATTTTGGATATTTCTAGAAAAGTAAGTGTTTGAAATTGTGATGTGATCAGAATATATTTTTTTTCTTTTAGATCTGAAACACATTTAGAAACAGTAATTACTAAATTGTATTCCTGTTTTAATACAATGGATACTTACTATGTTAATAGTAAAATCATTTTTGCGTTCTGGAAATTCCGATTCATTTTCTTTATCAATCGCATTTTGGCTGTCTTCCACTATCAACATTGTTTCTAATGGAACTTCCGACACCTCAATGACTTCAATCGATTTAATGGGATTTTCAAATATGTTTTGGTTGTCACTGAAAGAGTTATCTTCAAAAAGGTGTATATTCCTTTTTTTTCCATTTTTGAAAAATAATTGTGCTCCTCCATAATGTGGCACATTTTATTACCAGGATGAACGTCAGATTTCAGCTCCAAGACATTATCTTCCATAAGAGGCCATTCTTCCACAGAATCGACTGATGTCTCTAGGACTTCTCTGGTATCTGTACCATCTGAACTGAGGCATTTTTCAATAGCCGTACTTTCTGCCATTAGTAATACGTTTGGCGACACAATTTTTTCACGGCACATTTCATCACCAGGATGAATTTCAGATTGGCGCTCTAAAGCAATGCCTTCCATAGGAGAACATTCTTTCAGAGAATCAACTGATGTCTCTAGGGCTTCTCTGGTATCTGTACCATCTGAACTGAGGCATTTTTCAATAGCCGTACTTTCTGCCATTGGTAATACGTTTGGCGACACAATTTTTTCACGGCACATTTCATCACCAGGATGAATTTCAGATTGGCGCTCTAAAGCAATGCCTTCCATAGGAGAACATTCTTTCAGAGAATCAACTGATGTCTCTAGGGCTTCTCTGGTATCTGCATCATCTACCACTGGTAATATGTTGAGCGACATTTTTTTTTCACCCAATGAATCTTTTTGTTTGCCTTTTTCAAGTAATTGATTCGCATAGTATGCGATTCTTTGGCGATTTCTTTTGTTATTTTTAAGTCGCCGGTATTTTGCAACATTAGTAACTTCATTTACTTTGTCAATTATATTTTGAAAATGACCACGTTCATCGCTATAAAAATATGTTAGTTGTTCTAAGAATTTATAACTTTTTAACAATTCTTTTAAAGAAATAATGAAGCACTTCAACATTTTAGATTTTTATTTTTTGCATAACTTGGGAAAAACATGCGTTGTTTATCAAAACTCAAATACAAGTGGAATTTTTTCATATTCAAAAATTCGCTTCGTTTCATATTTACCAAACGAAATCGTCGTAGATCAGGTGGTCCATTCCGTTCCATCCCGTTTTCCTTTTCCAGTACAGTTTGCAACGTTTTGCACAGTATTGCATTGAAGTTTGTTAAATTATATACAGATAATAATTTTAAGGTAATTCGTATTACAAACGAATATCAAGTTTAAGAATAGTTAATTTTATAGCGTGTATTTAACGATATTAAAATGTATAACATTTGTATTTGAAATCATATTGGAATATCTATGCAATGCCATTTATTAAATTTGGCATCACTTTTCTTATTGAAAAAAGACGCACTACTATGTTTCAGAAATTTTTTCTTTTCATTTTTCCGCATCGTTTCATGTTTCCAATATCGTTTTCATGGTAGAAGAATACAGGTCGATGCATCAACATTTGTGAACATTGATATGTCCAAAATATTTAAATATTTCAGAGGTTCCTTGAGTAATTTTTCATTCAATATTTTTAATTTCAAAAAACATTGAAAGTTAATTGCCATGTGTCGATGCGGCTACCTGTATCATTTTATGATGATTGGATTGTAGCATGCTACAATGAAGAAAAGGTGGACTGCGTTGAAAAATGTTGCAATTAAAGATGCCTACCTGTATGGATTGTAATGTCGTAATTTCTGTCAAAACAAATGTAACAAGTTGTTTATTATCAAATAAAAAACAAAACATGTTCTATTTTCCTCTAAAGATTTTTTTAATTATTTTGTTAAGGACTCAACTGGATGGACTCAAAGGAATCTGATTAGCGGCCCCAAAATGACAAACGTTTACAACTATGTCAAAATGATGCCTTCGAGGAGAGTCCACTATAGTTACAACAGGCTGACATGATGACCAGTAATCTGGATGAGCATGGCAATCAATTTGGGTTTTAAAACTGTGCCTAAATAACTGGCAGTTCTCTAGAATATGATGCAATAGTTATCCATGAGAACTGCGTAAACCTATGGTAAATGGTAGTTACCGATGAGGATATTCATTAAAGTCCTTCCAAACTGCACCAAAAGAGAAGTTACTCTCAATCTTGCTAGTTTAAAGGAACTATTATGATTGAAACTAAATGTAAGATTATTTGATAATTTTTAATACATTTTTTAATAAATATATTTTTCAGGTCATACTCACATACCTCGTAGAATATACCTTGCAATTTTCAGAAGATTGTTATTTAAATGCCTATCAGTTGTTACGTAAAGCCCGATTAATGACCGATTTAAATTCCCTGGCCAATTATCCGTTGTTTTGAGAGCAAACTCATTAACCGGTGTCATGTTCTAAGCAAGAATGTCGATGAAACCTCTAAAGGTTCAATTAGGTGTGCCGTAACAATAACCATACCAATAGCTTTAATCACATCTAATGTTATCGATTAGCGGCCAAAGCCATACACAATTGTTATATATAATTTCTGCAAAAATTTTCAAATATAGAAATGTATAAATCAAATATAACAAGTTAAAAAGTATCAGTCGTATTTTGACATCTGTTATGATTATGGAAACTCCTACCCCTCTATGGAGTGGATTGTCCATTTCATACCAGACCTAAAAAAATACGGTATAAATGTTGCGACGTGACGGGTTCTGTCTATATTGGTAACTTCATCATAAAATCCATATTCAACGCAAGTTTCTGGTTGAGAGAAATATTCGGACATAGCCAATTGTAAAGAATCGCTGACTTGTTTCTTAAGTTATGACAGAAAAAGTATTGAAAATTGTGACCCTTTTTGGGTGAGGTACCAGAGGGGGTTCTTCACAACAGATCTTGTGTTAGCAAAAATTCGTATATGTGAAATTTAAAGAGAGTTGAATGCTTATCTGGCTTATTTTGAGCGTTTGTTTTCTCAAAATCTTGAACCCTGTGGGGGGAGGTACCAGAAAAAATGGTATATTTTTATAAGGGATCTTGTGTTGGTGGAAATATTGAGATGTGCCAAGTCTGAATGGAATCGGATGTTAATTTCGCATGGATATTCAAAATGTTGAACCTTTGTGGGGGAGGTACCAGAAGAAGCGGACTGATATTGCCCATCTCACAACCCGATATATATTTGACAAAATATTACGATGTACCAAGTTTGGACCAAATCGGATACTCCCTTCGAGATTTATCGTGCGTACCAGCCAGCCAGACAGACAGACGGACATCGCTAGATCGAAACCGTTATTTCGACTAGGCACGTTTTGACCATATCAAATGATATATACTCCCTCTAGCCATATGGCTGAGGGTACAAATATAACAAGTAAGCAAAGGCTATAGTCGTGCGGGGCCGATCATGTAATACCCTACAACATTACATAATGGTAGAAGTCCCCTTATGTCCAAATCCATTTTGGAAGATTTCGCTTTTGAAATTGTGTTATAGACCTTTTTGACTAGGGACATATGTCCAATACTTACGCAAACCGTCGTCCTGTTAGTTACAGTCAAATATAATCCGATGGTCATCCAAAATGATACACTTCTTCCCTGTCCTTTACTCTCTTCTCATGCTAAATTTCGTGTCGATTGGTTTCAATTGTGTGATAAGGAAAATTTTTCTGTTTTTGGTACATTTGAACCCCTAAATATTTTTCGATCATCTCCAAAAGCAAGAGGCCCCTCAGTATCTCTGAATTTAGTCCCATCTATATGATTTGCTTGTCTATGATATTTGGATATATTCGACAACGAAATCAGCACAAAAAGCCAAAAGTTCGCCTTTTTGTGTATTTTGAATATCGTCTGTATGTTATTTTCAACTGTAAAATGTAAATTTTTGTTTTTTTTTTTCATAAAAGTAGTGGTCCATTCTGTCCGCTGTCCTAAACTCTAACTTCATGCGAGATTTCGTGACTTTTCGTTTCTATTTGTGACCTTTATAACGGCTGCAAAATCAGGAAAATTTTTAGTTGTTGGTCCATTTAAACCCTAAATATATTGCGGGCATCTTTGAAAACAATAGGCCTAGCCATTCTGAGCCTAAAACTACCCTTATGACAATTTTCGTGGGGATCGGACGATAATTGCAATCTGTATATAATAACCCCAACCTGTGTTGTAAGGTGAAAAAATATTACAAAATGTACACTTGAATATTATAAGACAAATTAAAAAAATCGCATGTGATGAAAAATATGAAAAAATGTCACAGAATACTACAAAATCTATATTAACGTCATTATTGGTATCTTTTTATGCGATTTTTTTAGATTTTATACTTTTATGCCAAGAGGGCATTCTGAATTGACAAAATTTGTCAAAATCGCTCCAGCCATTCTGGAGATATAAGCGTTCTAGCTAACATCCCCTTCCTTTGTATATATACATTGTATATATTTTGCTATATATTTCCGATATTTTTACTATCGGCATCTACGTAACGGTCAGAATTGACCTGTTCGTCTATTTGTGATTTCGCCGGCATTAAAAATATTCGCGGTTTAATGGAAAATTTGACTTTTATTTATCACAAATGCTTTGGTCTATTTCAACAACTAAATGTTACCCGATGACCATCAAAATTGGAAGGCTTCTGCCCAGCCCGAAGCTCTAGCCCCATGCTAACTTTCGCTTCGATTGGTCTATAATTGTGACCTGTAGAGCAACTACAAAATCAGGAAATTTTTCAGTTTTTGGTCCATTTCAAACCCTAAATATTATGCGATCATCTTCAAAAAAAAAAAAAAAAATAGGGTTCTATTCTAACATTAAGCCCAACTAAATTTCGTGAGGATCGGGCCATAATTGCGACCTGTAGAGTGATTACAAATTAACATGGACAGACGGACGACGGATATCGTAGCTAGATCGACTCAGCTCGGCGAGATAGGAAGATCCATATATACTTTCCGATGTGGGAAATCTATATTTCGAGGTGTTACAAAATTTTTGGTCCAATCAAACTTATAATACCCCCAACACATAGTGTTGTAGGGTATAAAAAGTGTTTTTGTCTCTATAAAAGGAGAGAAATAAATTGTTAGCTTTAATTTTTCAATTTTCTGTTTTCAATACAATTTCGTTGGTAAAAATTAATATTTTTATCAGACAATTCAGAGCTAAATTTGCACCAGTATTTCAATTATGATTCATTAAAAAAAAAAACAGGTAAAAAATCTGTAACTTCGTCCGGGCCAAACTTTTAATACTCTCCACCATTTGGTACAAATTTGACAATTTTCAAAAAAAAAAGTAAAATCTGTTAAAATCTTAAAAATACCGAATGCCTATGCGACGACGTAGGCCTGCATAGCCAACTTTTCTCATAAGTTATTACAATATTTAAATGCGAAACTTGAAGAAAAATCTGTTTATTAAGTAGCTAAAATCATCAAAATATCGAATATAGGGGCTACCGTTATATGGGGGCTATATGAAGAAGTGGACCTACAAAATATACATGTGTGCAAAATTTTAGCCTTCTATCTCAATTCGTTCGAAAGAAATCGTGATTACAACAGACAGATGGACATGGCTTTTTGGCATTTTTTTCTTAACAAGTTGTACTTGATTCTTAAATATAAATAGCTTAAATTTGTATATAATGACTTTATGTCTGTTAGGTACTTTTTCAAAAAAGTTTAACTTAATTGCAATTAAATTATACAAAGGGCATGTTGTAAAATACTCCGGCATCTCAAAAATGTAATCCTTACAAATATCAAAAATTATCAATTTCCGCATAAAAATTTGGTAGTTAAGTAGAATATTAAATCCGAAGATGCCTGAGAACGTTATTCCTTTTTTAGCCTTTTTTCAGTGGTACATAACTTGCAAAGAAAACTAATATATATTTTATTCGAATAAATACTCTTCATACAATTTCCGCAAATTTTTTTTTTAAACATTGAAGACATTGCTCGTCTAAATTTCTTGTTGAAGAACAATGAAAGCATATATCTGTCGTTGCGTATCTCAAGATTTTGATTTGAAGTTCTTTTCTATATAAGTTTTTTTCTTCTAAATTCTTCATGGGCTGATTTTTTATGTATTTTTCGGCATATTGCAGTACAAATATACCACATTCATAAGAATCATATTGTTTGTCGCACGAAAAATTTTTAATAGACCATGTTTCCTGCTTGATTAAGAAAATCTCTTGCAAATAGTATTCAATCAGGTTGGTGACTTGCCGTGTTTAGCTTGTCTAGGATCCAAACATGATAGTTCCCTGGATTTAATATTCAATATTATAAGATAATAGTGATTATCTATAATGTGTGGAATGAGTATGGAAGTTGAAGAAGCTTCGACTAATTTTTGGTGGTTTTGGAAAGCATAAAAATCAATTTGTACGGGGAGTGCTTTGTAGGTACATTTGTTTTCATCTAAAAGAATGACAATTCCGGCATTTACAATATTATTGCGTAGCCACTGTTTTGGTCTAAGTGTTTCCAAATCAAAAAAAATAGAAATAATATTGTCGCCAAAAGGTCTACCTACGAAATATTTATCATATAGTGTTTTCAAATTACATACAAATATTTTGTCCAAATCAAATTGTTTTAGTGTATTTTCTGAATACAATTTGTAGGGATTGTATGTATTTTTTTGGGTATAGACTCCATGATTGTGGTCAATAAATTCACGGCTACACTTTAAGGTTTCAACTGTCGTAGCAAGTTTCTGCAATCCTGAAAATTCCTGCGAAAACATAGACTGTGTTAGGCGGGATTTGTGTTTTTTTTTTTTTTTATTCCAGCTTTCTGCAACCATTTTCAGGTCTTTATTAGATTCTTTTCCAAAAACTTTTGACTTGCTGGGTTTTTTATTCTTTTTAGAAGCATTGACCTTTGTTCCAACTGCTACGGATTCATACAACTTATCGTATAGGAATGTTATATCAATGTCAGTGGCTAGTGAACGATAATATTTATCGACTTGCCTCACGAAGCGCCCGAGTTTGTTCTTTTGATCCTCCAAAACCAAATTTTTCAAATTTTTGTAATGAGCTTCTATTGGCCCATTACTAACACGATTGGGTTTTTTAGATATAAAACATCCAATAATATTTGTCCAACATGGTAGGAATGCGATATACTTTTTTAGTATGAAAATGAGAATTTTGGGATGGTAATATGGATTTGGTTGTCCATCTTCATCATATATTTCCAAGGATTGTACCCTTGTTAATATATCCTGAAACTCTTTTGTGAAAGGACTTGCACTTGAAATTTCTTCTAGCGTATTCTCTACAATTTCTTCTAAATATTTCTTTCCAATATTTTCATCAAAAATATATTCTTCAATAGGCGTCTTTACAAAGCTTTTCCAACATTCTCATTTAAAAATCTACCACTTAATATTGTTTGCATTCATTCAACGAAGTAAAGTTAAATGCTAACCCCATTGCTTCTCGCAGAAATTCCCCTAATTTTACATTATTTAAAGAAACTTGTTCATCAATGTCTTTACATATAATTTTAGTGTAGTGGCTAGTGCAAAATTGTATTGTCACGAAATCTATCTGCTGCGCAGCATTACCATTCAAAACTTGTTTACATTTTACCAAGTATTGATAAATGTTTGCCATTCCATTAAATTCGGCTAGAATAGCATTAATAATTGCATAGCTGCAATCCGTTACTACTCTTTTGCATAATGGCCATCTCAATTTATGGGCTTGGCATTTATCTTTTAGTGGAGTAGCTAAATACTGTATAAAATGTATATAATTTGTTTCACTCATAATGAATGTGCTTATAAATGGATGCACATCATAATCAAAGTGGGCCTTGGCTTCAGATCGAATTTTCCGAAATGTAGATAGAGACCTTAAATTTTGTTGTTTTCCAACGAAACGTAAAAATTTTGACTGCTGATTGATTACCTTTTTCTTATACAATATTGCCTTTTTAATAAATAGTTCTGCTTTAATCAGTTGTCGTTTCGGACCCCTAACTTGACAATATTTGTGCAGGCCAATTTGGTGTTGAAGTTCTTTTTGGACCGAAACACTTTGCAAGTCTCATTTTCCAGGAATAATTTCAGTACGAACGTACAACAAGCTTGATCGTTACAATAAGCATATGCTACGAATATGTTGCCATCACTGTTAAACCTACTGGATCGTATATTAATGTCACACACGTTATTGGATGCCTCGTATGGCTCTTGCAAAAGTTTCTTTTGACTAAAGTATCATTTTGGTTGGCTATGTTTTGAACACCTTTGCACGAAAATTCGCAATCGAAAAACTTACAATCTTTGAATGTAATTTTTCTTCTCTGTTTATCCGCAGATAAACGTTTTACCAAACGTACACTCCTGTTTTTCATTAGGACTTGCGGACTTTCGGTACTTCTTTAACAAATCCACATGGAAATCTTCCTCGGGTGTACCGTTTAGCTCGTCACAGCTAAGAATAGAACTCTGAAAAACGAATGCATCGTTATAAATATTTTGGATATTTCTAGAAAAGTAAGTGTTTGAAATTGTGATGTGATCAGAATATAATTTTTTTCTTTTAGATCTGAAACACATTTAGAAATAGTAAATACTAAATTGTATTCCTGTTTTAATACAATGGATACATACTATGTTAATAGTAAAATCATTTTTGCGTTCTAGAAATTCCGATTCATTTTCTTTATCAATCGCATTGTGGCTGTCTTCCACTATCAACATTGTTTCTAATGGAACTTCCGACACCTCAATGACTTCAATCGATTTAGTGGGATTTTCAAATATGTTTTGGTTGTCACTGAAAGAGTTATCTTCAAAAAGGTGTATATTCCTTTTTTTTCCATTTTTTGAAAAATAATTGTGCTCCTCCATAATGTGGCACATTTATTATTAGGATGGACGTCAGATTTAAGATCCAAGGCATTATCTTCTATAAGAGGCCATTCTTCCACAGAATCGACTGATGTCTCTAGGACTTCTCTGGTATCTGTACATTCTGAACTGAGGCATTTTTCAATAGCCGTACTTTCTGCCATTGGTAATACGTTTGGCGACACAATTTTTTCACGGCACTTTTCATCACCAGGATGAATTTCAGATTGGCGCTCTAAAGCAATGCCTTCCATAGGAGAACAATCTTTCAGAGAATCAACTGATGTCTCTAGGGCTTCTCTGGTATCTGCATCATCTACCACTGGTAATATGTTGAGCGACATTTTTTTTTCACCCAATGAATCTTTTTGTTTGCCTTTTTCAAGTAATTGATTCGCATAGTATGCGATTCTTTGGCGATTTCTTTTGTTATTTTTAAGTCGCCGGTATTTTGCAACATTAGTAACTTCATTTACTTTGTCAATTATATTTTGAAAATGACCACGTTCATCGCTATAAAAATATGTTAGTTGTTCTAAGAATTTATAACTTTTTAACAATTCTTTTAAAGAAATAATGAAGCACTTCAACATTTTAGATTTTTATTTTTTGCATAACTTGGGAAAAACATGCGTTGTTTATCAAAACTCAAATACAAGTGGAATTTTTTCATATTCAAAAATTCGCTTCGTTTCATATTTACCAAACGAAATCGTCGTAGATCAGGTGGTCCATTCCGTTCCATCCCGTTTTCCTTTTCCAGTACAGTTTGCAACGTTTTGCACAGTATTGCATTGAAGTTTGTTAAATTATATACAAATAATAATTTTAAGGTAATTCGTATTACAAACGAATATCAAGTTTAAGAATAGTTAATTTTATAGCGTGTATTTAACGATATTAAAATGTATAACATTTGTATTTGAAATCATATTGGAATATCTATGCAATGCCATTTATTAAATTTGGCATCACTTTTCTTATTGAAAAAAGACGCACTACTATGTTTCAGAAATTTTTTCGTTTCATTTTTCCGCATCGTTTCATGTTTCCAATATCGTTTTCATGGTAGAAGAATACAGGTCGATGCATCAACATTTGTGAACATTGATATGTCCAAAATATTTAAATATTTCAGAGGTTCCTTGAGCAATTTTTCATTCAATATTTTTAATTTCAAAAAACATTGAAAGTTAATTGCCATGTGTCGATGCGGCTACCTGTATCATTTTATGATGATTGGATTGTAGCATGCTACAATGAAGAAAAGGTGGACTGCGTTGAAAAATGTTGCAATTAAAGATGCCTACCTGTATGGATTGTAATGTCGTAATTTCTGTCAAAACAAATGTAACAAGTTGTTTATTATCAAATAAAAAACAAAACATGTTCTATTTTCCTCTAAAGATTTTTTTAATTATTTTGTTAAGGACTCAACTGGATGGACTCAAAGGAATCTGATTAGCGGCCCCAAAATGACAAACGTTTACAACTATGTCAAAATGATGCCTTCGAGGAGAGTCCACTATAGTTACAACAGGCTGACATGATGACCAGTAATCTGGATGAGCATGGCAATCAATTTGGGTTTTAAAACTGTGCCTAAATAACTGGCAGTTCTCTAGAATATGATGCAATAGTTATCCATGAGAACTGCGTAAACCTATGGTAAATGGTAGTTACCGATGAGGATATTCATTAAAGTCCTTCCAAACTGCACCAAAAGAGAAGTTACTCTCAATCTTGCTAGTTTAAAGGAACTATTATGATTGAAACTAAATGTAAGATTATTTGATAATTTTTAATACATTTTTTAATAAATATATTTTTCAGGTCATACTCACATACCTCGTAGAATATACCTTGCAATTTTCAGAAGATTGTTATTTAAATGCCTATCAGTTGTTACGTAAAGCCCGATTAATGACCGATTTAAATTCCCTGGCCAATTATCCGTTGTTTTGAGAGCAAACTCATTAACCGGTGTCATGTTCTAAGCAAGAATGTCGATGAAACCTCTAAAGGTTCAATTAGGTGTGCCGTAGCAATAACCATACCAATAGCTTTAATCACATCTAATGTTATCGATTAGCGGCCAAAGCCATACACAATTGTTATATATAATTTCTGCAAAAATTTTCAAATATAGAAATGTATAAATCAAATATAACAAGTTAAAAAGTATCAGTCGTATTTTGACATCTGTTATGATTATGGAAACTCCTACCCCTCTATGGAGTGGGTTGTCCATTTCATACCAGACCTAAATAAATACGGTATAAATGTTGCGACGTGACGGGTTCTGTCTATATTGGTAACTTCATCATAAAATCCATATTCAACGCAAGTTTCTGGTTGAGAGAAATATTCGGACATAGCCAATTGTAAAGAATCGCTGACTTGTTTCTTAAGTTATGACAGAAAAAGTATTGAAAATTGTACCCTTTTTGGGTGAGGTACCAGAGGGGGTTCTTCACAACAGATCTTGTGTTAGCAAAAATTCGTATATGTGAAATTTAAAGAGAGTTGAATGCTTATCTGGCTTATTTGGAGCGTTTGTTTTCTCAAAATCTTGAACCCTGTGGGGGGAGGTACCAGAAAAAATGGTATATTTTTATAAGGGATCTTGTGTTGGTGGAAATATTGAGATGTGCCAAGTCTGAATGGAATCGGATGTTAATTTCGCATGGATATTCAAAATGTTGAACCTTTGTGGGGGAGGTACCAGAAGAAGTGGACTGATATTGCCCATCTCACAACTCGATATATATTTGACAAAAATATTACGATGTACCAAGTTTGGACCAAATCGGATACTCCCTTCGAGATTTATCGTGCGTACCAGCCAGCCAGACAGACAGACGGACATCGCTAGATCGAAACCGTTATTTCGACTAGGCACGTTTTGACCATATCAAATGATATATACTCCCTCTAGCCATATGGCTGAGGGTACAAATATAACAAGTAAGCAAAGGCTATAGTCGTGCGGGGCCGATCATGTAATACCCTACAACATTACATAATGGTAGAAGTCCCCTTATGTCCAAATCCATTTTGGAAGATTTCGCTTTTGAAATTGTGTTATAGACCTTTTTGACTAGGGACATATGTCCAATACTTACGCAAACCGTCGTCCTGTTAGTTACAGTCAAATATAATCCGATGGTCATCCAAAATGATACACTTCTTCCCTGTCCTTTACTCTCTTCTCATGCTAAATTTCGTGTCGATTGGTTTCAATTGTGTGATAAGGAAAATTTTTCTGTTTTTGGTACATTTGAACCCCTAAATATTTTTCGATCATCTCCAAAAGCAAGAGGCCCCTCTGTATCTCTGAATTTAGTCCCATCTATATGATTTGCTTGTCTATGATATTTGGATATATTCGACAACGAAATCAGCACAAAAAGCCAAAAGTTCGCCTTTTTGTGTATTTTGAATATCGTCTGTATGTTATTTTCAACTGTAAAATGTAAATTTTTGTTTTTTTTTTCATAAAAGTAGTGGTCCATTCTGTCCGCTGTCCTAAACTCTAACTTCATGCGAGATTTCGTGACTTTTCGTTTCTATTTGTGACCTTTATAACGGCTGCAAAATCAGGAAAATTTTTAGTTGTTGGTCCATTTAAACCCTAAATATATTGCGGGCATCTTTGAAAACAATAGGCCTAGCCATTCTGAGCCTAAAACTACCCTTATGACAATTTTCGTGGGGATCGGACGATAATTGCAATCTGTATATAATAACCCCAACCTGTGTTGTAAGGTGAAAAAATATTACAAAATGTACACTTGAATATTATAAGACAAATTAAAAAAATCGCATGCGATGAAAAATATGAAAAAATGTCACAGAATACTACAAAATCTATATTAACGTCATTATTGGTATCTTTTTATGCGATTTTTTTAGATTTTATACTTTTATGTCAAGAGGGCATTCTGAATTGACAAAATTTGTCAAAATCGCTCCAGCCATTCTGGAGATATAAGCGTTCTAGCTAACATCCCCTTCCTTTGTATATATACATTGTATATATTTTGCTATATATTTCCGATATTTTTACTATCGGCATCTACGTAACGGTCAGAATTGACCTGTTCGTCTATTTGTGATTTCGCCGGCATTAAAAATATTCGCGGTTTAATGGAAAATTTGACTTTTATTTATCACAAATGCTTTGGTCTATTTCAACAACTAAATGTTACCCGATGACCATCAAAATTGGAAGGCTTCTGCCCAGCCCGAAGCTCTAGCCCCATGCTAACTTTCGCTTCGATTGGTCTATAATTGTGACCTGTAGAGCAACTACAAAATCAGGAAATTTTTCAGTTTTTGGTCCATTTCAAACCCTAAATATTATGCGATCATCTTCAAAAAAAAAATAGGGTTCTATTCTAACATTAAGCCCAACTAAATTTCGTGAGGATCGGGCCATAATTGCGACCTGTAGAGTGATTACAAATTAACATGGACAGACGGACGACGGATATCGTAGCTAGATCGACTCAGCTCGGCGAGATAGGAAGATCCATATATACTTTCCGATGTGGGAAATCTATATTTCGAGGTGTTACAAAATTTTTGGTCCAATCAAACTTATAATACCCCCAACACATAGTGTTGTAGGGTATAAAAAGTGTTTTTGTCTCTATAAAAGGAGAGAAATAATTTGTTAGCTTTAATTTTTCAATTTTCTGTTTTCAATACAATTTCGTTGGTAAAAATTAATATTTTTATCAGACAATTCAGAGCTAAATTTGCACCAGTATTTCAATTATGATTCATTAAAAAAAAAACAGGTAAAAAATCTGTAACTTCGTCCGGGACAAACTTTTAATACTCTCGACCATTTGGTACAAATTTGACAATTTTCAAAAAAAAAGTAAAATCTGTTAAAATCTTAAAAATACCGCATAGCCAACTTTTCTCATAAGTTATTACAATATTTAAATGCGAAACTTGAAGAAAAATCTGTTTATTAAGTAGCTAAAATCATCAAAATATCGAATATAGGGGCTACCGTTATATGGGGGCTATATGAAGAAGTGGACCTACAAAATATACATGTGTGCAAAATTTTAGCCTTCTATCTCAATTCGTTCGAAAGAAATCGTGATTACAACAGACAGATGGACATGGCTTTTTGGCATTTTTTTCTTAACAAGTTGTACTTGATTCTTAAATATAAATAGCTTAAATTTGTATATAATGACTTTATGTCTGTTAGGTACTTTTTCAAAAAAGTTTAACTTAATTGCAATTAAATTATACAAAGGGCATGTTGTAAAATACTCCGGCATCTCAAAAATGTAATCCTTACAAATATCAAAAATTATCAATTTCCGCATAAAAATTTGGTAGTTAAGTAGAATATTAAATCCGAAGATGCCTGAGAACGTTATTCCTTTTTTAGCCTTTTTTCAGCGGTACATAACTTGCAAAGAAAACTAATATATATTTTATTCGAATAAATACTCTTCATACAATTTACGCAAATTTTTTTTTAAAGCATATATCTGTCGTTGCGTATCTCAAGATTTTGATTTGAAGTTCTTTTCCATATAAGTTTTTTTCTTCTAAATTCTTCATGGGCTGATTTTTTATGTATTTTTCGGCATATTGCAGTACAAATATACCACATTCATAAGAATCATATTGTTTGTCGCACGAAAAATTTTTAATAGACCATGTTTCCTGCTTGATTAAGAAAATCTCTTGCAAATAGTATTCAATCAGGTTGGTGACTTGCCGTGTTAAGCTTGTCTAGGATCCAAACATGATAGTTACCTGGATTTAATATTCAATATTATAAGATAATAGTGATTATCTATAATGTGTGGAATGAGTATGGAAGTTGAAGAATGGGAGAAAGCTTCGACTAATTTTTGGTGGTTTTGGAAAGCATAAGAATCAATTTGTACGGGGAGTGCTTTGTAGGTACATTTGTTTTCATCTAAAAGAATGACAATTCCGGCATTTACAATATTATTGCGTAGCCACTGTTTTGGTCTAAGTGTTTCCAAATCAAAAATAGAAATAATATTGTCGCCAAAAGGTCTACCTACGAAATATTTATCATATAGTGTTTTCAAATTACATACAAATATTTTGTCCAAATCAAATTGTTTAGTGTATTTTCTGAATACAATTTGTAGGGATTGTATGTATTTTTTTGGGTATAGACTCCATGATTGTGGTCAATAAATTCACGACTACACTTTAAAGTTTCAACTGTCGTAGCAAGTTTCTGCAATCCTGAAAATTCCTGCGAAAACATAGGCTGTGTTAGGCGGGATTTGTGTTTTTTTTTTATTCCAGCTTTCTGTAACCATTTTCAGGTCTTTATTAGATTCTTTTCCAAAAACTTTTGACTTGCTGGGTTTTTTATTCTTTTTAGAAGCATTGACCTTTGTTCCAACTGCTACGGATTCATACAACTTATCGTATAGGAATGTTATATCAATGTCAGTGGCTAGTGAACGATAATATTTATCGACTTGCCTCACGAAGCGCCCGAGTTTGTTCTTTTGATCCTCCAAAACCAAATTTTTCAAATTTTTGTAATGAGCTTCTATTGGCCCATTACTAACACGATTGGGTTTTTTAGATAAAACATCCAATAATATTTGTCCAACATGGTAGGAATGCGATATACTTTTTTAGTATGAAATTGAGAATTTTGGGATGGTAATATGGATTTGGTTGTCCATCTTCATCATATATTTTCAAGGATTGTACCCTTGTTAATATATCCTGAAACTCTTTTGTGAAAGGACTTGCACTTGAAATTTCTTCTAGTGTATTCTCTACAATTTCTTCTAAATATTTCTTTCCAATATTTTCATCAAAAATATATTCTTCAATAGGCGTCTTTACAAAGCGTATAAATTCCCCTTCAGCTTTTCCAACATTCTCATTTAAGAATCTACCACTTAATATTGTGGACAACATTTCGAACCATTGTTTGCATTCATTCAACGAAGTAAAGTTAAATGCTAACCCCATTGCTTCTCACAGAAATTCTCTTAATTTTACATTATTTAGA